TAAACTGGCCAAGTTTGATGATTCTAAGTCTAATAGTTTTCTAGTTATCAGCCGGACAGGATTTTTCCATATTTGGCCATAACATCTTAATTAAAGGTCAGAACGACCTACTTTTAGTGCGCGACACACCTTCTACCCAAGAAGTATCAGCCTAATAGTATTAAAGTTATGAGCCGGACACGAGAAAAGCTAACAGACAGACAGACGGACATGAACGCCATAACATAATACGTCCCGTCTAAAGACGGGCGTATAACAACAGTACTTTGCACCCGAGAGAAAAAAAAACTCAGCCATTTGGCATTTGTGTTGCCTAAGGTCAAAATTACATGAACAGTTCAGCGTACATGTTATGAGTCATAAAAGTTATGAAAATGTTCTGAAAATTAAATATATGGCAAAAGTTTTAGTCTAAAGCTCTCTGCTCACAATGTTTCCAGAACCCTACAGTAGAATATTTGCAATATATCTAACTGACCTACATGTACTGATGAAAATATCTATAGTTAGTATCGATATATCAAATAGGCCTAGTTATTCAATGTTATATACACATATATGCATATAGATCTATACACATTAAAAATGAAAATATAATAAACATAAAATTTCAATGGAAATGAATAGCAACTTTGTCACATTTTTCATATAAACATGTAGTACACAGTTCCATCATAGCAGTATTCAAATGTTATTATATCAAATGTATCATTAACCCTGGCATTAACACTGTACATAATACGGTGACTATATTTCTGTGTCGCCCGCTGACTTTTTTCTTAAATGAATCTCACTTTTCTTTCAAACTGTTAAAAAAATGATTACATAAAAAAACAAGAGGCCCATGGGCCTTGAATCGCTCTTCTGATAAACTGTACAACCTATCACTTCTATTTGAAGCCTCGAAGTATCCTGTATATTTACATAAACCCTTGAAATTCCAATTCACACTCTGAGAACCCAAGATGATTCTAAGCCAATTAGTACCTGAGAGTTGGTCATGGTGACCTACTTATCACTTGTCATTCTCTGAGGACCCATCAAGTTTGATGATTCTAAGCCAATTAATACCTAAAATATTTTTTAAAATTATAATCATAAAATTTTATAAGTAGGTCAAAGTGACCTACTTTTCAATTGTTTTACTCCAAGGACCCAAGATGCATCAACTGACAAAGTTTGATGATTCTAAGCCAATTAGTACCTGTAATATTTAATTAAAGCCATAAATTTTCAAAAGTAGGTCACCGTGACCTACTTTTCAGTTGCTGTACTCCAAGGACCAAAGATACATCGACTGACAAAGTTTGATGATTCTAGCCAATAAGTACCCAAAATATTTAATTACAGCCATAAATTTTCAAAAGTAGGTCACAGTGACCTACTTTTCAGTCAACCTACTCCGAGGACCAAAGATGCATCAACTGACAAATTTTGACGATTCTAAGCCAAATAATTCCTGAAAATATTAAATACAGCCATAAAATTTCAAAAGTAGGTCACCGTGACCTACTTTTCAGTTGTTGTACTCCGAGGACCCAAAACGCATCAACTGACAAAGTTTAATGATTCTAAGCCAATTAGTACCTGAAATATTTAATTATAGTCATATAAATTGAAAAGTAGGTCACGGTGACCTACTTTTCAGTTGACCTTTTTTGAGGACCCAAGATGCATCAACTTACGAAGTTTGATGATCATAGGACTTAAAATGTCCAAATTATGCCTCTAAAACGCTTTGAAATCGAATGCCTGCAAAGTTCAAAAAGTAGGTCACCGTGACCTACTTTTCAGTTGTTGTACTCCGAGGACCCATGACGCATAAACTGACAAAGTTTTATGATTCTAAGCCAATTAGTACCCGAAAATATTTTATTAAAGCCATAAATTTTCAGAAAGTAGGTCACGGTGACCTACTTTTTAGTCTACCTACTCCGAAGACCCATGACGCATCAACTGACAAAGTTTGATGATTCTAAGCCAATTAGTACCCGAAATATTTAATTAAAGCCATAAATTTTCAAAAGTAGGTCACGGTGACCTACTTTTTAGTCGATCTACTCTGAAGACCCAAGATGCATCAACTGACAAAGTTTGATGATTCTAAGCCAATTAGTACCCGAGATATTTAATTTACGCCATAAATTTTCAAAAGTAGGTCACTGTGACCTACTTTTTAGTCGACCTACTCCGAAGACCCAAGATGCATCAACTGACAAAGTTTGATGATTCTAAGCCAATTAGTACCTGAAATATTTAATTATAGTCATATAAATTGAAAAGTAGGTCACGGTGACCTACTTTTCAGTTGACCTTTTTTGAGGACCCAAGATGCATCAACTTACGAAGTTTTATGATCATAGGACTTAAAATGTCCAAATTATGCCTCTAAAACGCTTTGAAATCGAATGCCTGCAAAGTTCAAAAAGTAGGTCACTGTGACCTACTTTTTAATAAATATGTTTTATGGCCCCAAGAGGCATCATCTTACAAGATTTAATGATTCTAAGCCTCCCCGTATTCGAATTAATGACCTTAATTGTTTTAAAAAAGATAAGCCATAAAATTCAAAAAGTAGGTCAAGGTGACCTACTTTTTAAATGACGTACTTTGACGACCCAAGATGCATCAACTGACAAAGTTTGATGATCATAGGCCTTAAATTGTTCAAAATATGCCTCTAAATCATTATGAAAAAGAATGGCCGCAAAATTTGAAAAGTAGGTCACTGTGACCTACTTTTGAGTCAACATGATATGAGGTCCTTAGATTCACCAACTGACAATATTTGATGATCCTAGTCCTTATAGTAAGCAAAATATCAACATTTTAATAAAATGTAATTTTTGGTCAACTTTGAAGTGACCTTGAGACCACGCCCTTTGCCCCAGGGTAAATCCCCGTGCAAATTTTAATCTACAACATATCCTCATCCTTTTGTGTAAGTTTGGTGATAATCTGCCCAGTGGTTCTTGAGAAGAAGATTTTTTAGTAACCAGTACTTTTGTTTCTATTTTCCTAATTATCTCCCCTTGTTAAAGGGTCACAACCCCAGTTTTAGTATAAAAGGGAGCCCTTGGGCCAAGGATACCCTGTGACAAATTTGACAATAATTGGCCAAGGGGTTCTTGAGTTATGGCCCATATTCTAAAAAGTTTACGCACACCGCACAAATGGCCATAGCATTAGCTCTTTGAGCCTTTGGCTCAGAAGAGCTAAAAAAACACGATGATACGCTGTGTGCACTCCATTATATCACCTTTATAAATAAATTCAATTCAATTCAATTTATTGATTCACCAAACATGTTGGCATACAACCATGTTACAAACAAAATGAAAAATACAGTGTGTTTTCAGATTACTAAAACATATACTAAAGTACATACATACATGCAAGTGTACAAATCAGTGAAGTCAACTACTTTTACAACTTGAAGTTATACATAATCATTATGAAAATAGTATAAACAGTATAATATGGACAGAGATAAACTAATTAATGCATTAAATATATATTATTGTGCTCTATTTTTAGAACGCAATTCAAAACATTCATGTAAAAATTCGCACAGCCTTCTAGAATGAACTGCATTGTCAGGATTACAAAGTACTTTACAATGATTTTCCTTCAACATGTTATCATTTAAATTATAGATGTTCAAAGGGTAATACTTTTTTCGCAAATCTTTATATCTAGGACAGTCATATATGAAATGTATTTCATTTTCTACAACATTTTTACAATAGTGACAAAAACGAGATTCTTTTGGGATACAAGGCTTTGAATATCTGCCAATTTCAATTTCTAAAGGGTGTGCAGAAATTCTCAGTTTTGTTAATTTAGAATGTACAGATTTATTAATTGGAAATTTCAAGTAGTCTTGTAATTCATAGTTCTTTCTAATTTGACTGTAAAATAATAATTTACCACATTTGGTGAATTCAATGTTCTGAAGTTGCAAATTAACATTTTTTATGTAGAAATTCTTCAAGTAGCTGCTAAATGTGCTATCAGTGATATCTAATGATGGAAGTTTAAGTTTCTTTTTTAATTTATCAATCTGACTCTGCCAATTATCCTTTACATCATTATTATACAGAATGTCATCTTCTAAGAAAGCAGCAAAAAGAATTTGATTTCTAATTCCATTTTTATTATTATGGTTTTTTAGTCTCTTATAATATTTAAACATAGAGATGAAAGCTTTGCAACAAATAGGAAGTGTTCCTAGCTCATATTTAATGGCTAAATTTGAAGCTTTTCTCTGTACACCCAAGATGTCTTTAAATATTAAATGCTGTATCTTTTCAAAAGGTAGTTGATCACAATTGTTTATATTAATATTAAAGTCTGAAATCCATATCTCAGAACCATACAAAATGATAGGTTCAATAAGAGAAGAATATAGTTTTAAAAGAGTTTTTACAGATAAGCTGTTATGAAATGGTAAAGAGTGTTTCATTGCATAAAAAGCTTTTCTTGCACGGTCAGCTAGGTGTTCAGCTGCATACTTAAATTTACCATTATAAGTAAAAATAATTCCCAGATATTTATATTCATGTTCAAGATGAACTATTGAATGATTATAATAAAAACAATGTTGAGCTGTGTCAGGTTTCTTATTTGAGAAAATCATTGCTTTAGTTTTATCAAGGTTAACAGTCAATTTTGATTTTATGCAATATTCTGAGAGACAGTCTATTGAGTTTTGGAGACCTTCTTTAGTAGTAGAGAGGAGAATTAAGTCATCTGCAAAGAATAAATGTCCGACATCAATATTCTGTAATTCAGGAGGGTTTGTGTTATAATTAACTAACTGCGAGTAGAAGTCATCAATAAATATATTAAGAAGTGTTGGGGAAAGATTATCTCCTTGTTTAACCCCGCGTGTAGCTATAAAATGTTCACTATAGCAAGATTCATCTTTACAGCAATATTTAGTGTTTGAGTACATATTATAAATAGCACATCTTCATAATAAATGCGACTTATCGTACCTGGTTTTGTGTTGTCTTTATCTGGTAAACCTAGACTCGTCCAAGTCATCAGCATTAAGATCGAAAGACGTAAAATAAAGACATCCATAATTTTGTCGTTTCTTACATTATTGTGGCTCTTTATAATGTTAACAAGCAGTATGTGTCAAAATTGGACGGAACAGGTAAGCCGATTTTTCAGTTTCACTGCTCCAGGTAAAATTTCCTGATTAGCTCATCGTTTCTTGATTTCTTACAAAAGAGAGTTCCGTAAAAAGGGGAATAACCCCAATAAACAAATGTGCTTACATACACCTTTTAGAACAATCTCTATCCAGAGTTATCGTTCCCGCTACGCTACACTTACACGAGGCGTTTACACGTGTTGTAGCGAAGCGTAATACGCCCTCTGGTGAGAGATTGCTTTTAGAATAGTAATTAACATTAGTGGCACTCATTTCATGCTTGTATGTTATTTTGTTGTATCACTTGCATTCATATACCCAGTTGGGGTCTTTGTCTTAAATAAAAACTTGAAACTTGAAACTTTAGAATGTGCTTTTTTAAAAGAGAACCAAAAAAATTTAACCTTGTCCCAAATATAATGGACAAAAAAGATTAGGGATCATGATTTTGAATTGTTTTCCCAAAACAATTATAATATATTTTTTACGTTATAGTTCAACCATACTTTCTGTTATTGATAAGAAAATGCTACCTGTAGGGTCGTGCAATTCATACCCAATTCATGCTTTACTGAATGCTGACACAGGGTGAAAAACAAAGTGATTCAGGGTATACACAAAGTTAACGAAATTGTTTATTTGAATACGTGTTTGAAGTTGTGGATATTTTTTGATGACCCTGTGACATTTCAAGCCATGTGACGTCACTTAACCGGCTTTAAGGCAGCCCAAGCTATAGGGAAGAGTCCCAAGCTAGCTGGAAGAGTCTATTACTTAACCAGTCAGGCAGTTCGGAAAAACAAATTCCGGTATGACTCTAGATTATGTAATTGGAGAGGGAAGGCCTAACCCGATTGAATTGAATGACCTAATAGTTTATGTGTTTTTCATACAGATATTATAAAATCCTTTTAGTCTAGGTATCATTAAGTAAGGCAATTATTTGAACTTAGGTAAGGAAACTGCTTATATAATTTTAAAAAAGCACAAATATAAATTAATGGAATGAAATTAAGAATATTAAAGAATGGATTAAAATAGCTAAAAAAAAAAAAAAAAACCCCTGTCCGCATCCACCAATCAACAAAGGAATCTAAAAATTAAAAAAAAATAACAATAACCCCAATCTCACCCCCGAAAACTAAACTAAGGCAGTTTAGAACTTGCTTATCAATTTCAAGCAGATATATAAGGACTTGAGTCCATTTGTTTCTCCATTTGTTTCTTTCTGGCATGTTGTGTCATCTTTGAAAAAAAAAAAACGAGGGGAGGAGAGGAAGAAAACAAATGCAACTTGCTTAAAATAACTTTGACAAACCAACAAAAGAAAAAAAGAAGGGGGGGGGGGCTAACTCGAAAATCTTTTGTTGTGTGGACGTATGTGTGTGTGTGTGTGTGTGTGGGGGGGGGGGGGGTTAAGGTTAAGACTTCTTTCACAGCAAAATAATGTTTATACTTATTCATACACATTTGCCTAGTTTGCCTATACTGCCAAATAAAAGTGGTGGGGTAGGCAGCTTTTCAACGAACATTTTAAACAGTAAAAGGATGTGTCCCCTCCCCGCCCCGTGATACTACGACCCTGTACATGTATTTATTAAGGAAACGGAACAAAAATACTAGTACATCTGATTTACACATGAAATAAACATAAAATATAAGTGAAAGTAACGGTTAAGCAGAACATAAACCGTCAGTTTCATAGCTAACCCAGGTTGGTTAAATCCTTATCCAGTCTGGAAGGAATAAAAACCGTTTGCTAAGAACATAATCCGCTCAGGTAGAAACATTATCAAGTAACTTTTAAAACCTAAAACTGAACCTAAAACATTCAGTTTGAAACCTTACCAGGTCGGGCAGAAATTATGAATAAGACAAATTAGAAACCTAATCCATGCACTCATGCAGGAACTGCAAATAGTCAGTCAGGCAGAAACATGAACAAGTCAGTGAAGAACCTAACCCAGTGAGGCAGATTCTTAAACAGTCAGTTAAGAACCTAGGCAGGAACATAGAACTGTCAGTTTAGAACCTAACCCAGTCAGGCAGAAACCAAACCCACTCGGGCAGAGTCATACAACAGTCAGTTTAGAAACTAACCACTCAGGCAGAAACCTTACCCACTCAGGCTGAGTGATAAAAACAGTCAGTTTAGAACCTAACCACTCAGGCAGAATCATAAAGCAGTCAGTTTAGAACCTAACCCAGTCAGGCAGAAACCTAACCCAGTCAGGCAGAATCATAAAACAGTCAGTTTAGAACCTAACCCCTCAGGCAGAAACCTTATCCACTCAGGCAGAGTCATAAAACAGTCAGTTTAGAACCTAACCACTCAGGCAGAAACCTTACCCACTCAGGCAGAGTCATAAAACAATCAGTTTAGAAGCTAACCACTCAGGTAGAAACCTTACCCACTCAGGCAGAGTCATAAAACAGTCAGTTTAGAACCTAACCACTCAGGCAGAAACCTTACCCACTCAGGCAGAGTCATAAAACAGTCAGTTTAGAACCTAACCACTCAGGCAGAATCATAAAACAGTCAGTTTAGAACCTAACCACTCAGGCCGTTTATTGACACAGGCCCTGAGAATCCTTGCATTGGCCCTGGAGTATGGAATTTTGAAGTTTCCATCAAGGTAAGCACTTTTAGTAAGCCAATTTTTCTTACCACCCTTGCATACTAAAGAGTGTTTCTTGCATAAGGCATGTTCACCCATGTAGCAGCAAATTATAGCATCACTCACATAGGAGAGTTGCTTCTTAATTTTGCTTGCATGACCTGTGCATTTTATTTGTGCCTGATTTATTTCACCAGTGCATCTATCTGTAAAATCTATAGCAAAGTTATGTAGCAGTTTGTTTCTTTCAGCTTTTGAATTTTTGGGCATAATTTTCTGTAAAGATTCATCTTTTTTGATGGCCTTTCTGACATTTTCAGCAAGATGCCGAGTGTCGATAAAATGTCGTGGTTCGTCTTGTAGTTTGCCCTCGGCATACAAAGACTCTGCGGCCTTGAATATTGTACTGTCAGGGTCTGACGTAATGTCCTTGACATTCAAATCATTCTCGAGAAGGTCTTCTATGCCCTCTTTGGCCCAGGTGAATTCGTCACCAATGTTTTTAGCCATGGGTATATTTGCCCCACATGTCTGCTCAGTGCACACATGGCTTGGATTGTTCTTGAGGTGCTGTTGCTCGGGACATATTTTGTTTTTGGTCACCAAAGATATTATTTCGTGACCACTGGTCACATCCTCTGCAATTGAGAAGACTATCTGAGTAGCAGGCTGGAAGGGGGTTTCCCCCACCCCGGAGTAGAGGGAGTTGTTGTACATCCCATCGCACTGAATTCCTATGTTGTTTGGGTTTGGGGCCCCCCGCAATTTATTAATGTTAACTAATTTCTTACATCTTTTTTTCATATCAGACTTATTTAGGGAAACAACTTTTTGCATGACGGCGTTACTGGTTTTTTGTAGTGAAGACTCGGCTGGAGGTGGAGTGTTGGTGGCCATCAGAATTTTGCGTAGAGATGAACTGCCAATGGGAGTTTGACTTAGACCTACTTGTAGGCCATAATTTATTGTTGCTGCCTTCCTTCCCCTGGAATTGGACTGTACTTCCACATAGAGGCTGTGCATTTTGGAAATGTACGGGCACCTGCTGCATTTCAGCCGTAGCCGAGTACCCAGGCCACGCCTCTCCTCAGAGTCCATGTCCCAGGTCAGGTTGCCATCACAGTCTGGGTTGGTCCGCCCGTGTTCTTTGAAGGCTGTATTGAACATCCCACATGTCTTTTGAAGATGAAGCAGTCTGTGGGAGTCATTATCACACCTGCTGAAACCAGTTTTGTACCTGATCACTTTCTATCCAGGTAAGTTCATTTTCAGAAATTAGAGTTACTCCCCTTAGACTATACTTGTTTTCAGAATTGAGACAAGAGGCTCATCACAATCTATAGAAACTGGTTTTGTAAGATTTTTCCTCATATAATTGATCAATTTTAAGAATGTTACTATAATTTAGAAAATTAATTAATTGTGAATTAATTAAACTGATTAATTTGACAGGATCTTAGGTATACCCCTTATTTCAGGCAAATTGGCCATATATGGGCCTATTCTAAGAATTAGAAAAATTATTTATTACTTAAAAAGGTTTAATATCATAATTTAAGAAATATTAAAGAACTGTGGTCATTACCCCAAGGATTCGGCTTGCTTCAAAGCCTCAGAATTTTCTCTCTTTTCCAGGGGCCTGGGTCGTAGCAACCGGTGGCACCCAGGGCGCAGCATCATTTCCTGCTCCTCACACACAGAGGGTGGATGCCTCACCATTTCCAGGGTTTCCCGGTCTACTCTTGTGAATGGTGCAGGTGAGTTCTCTTCTTTTTTAAGCAATTTTCCCTTGTTGTGAGGCACAGATTTAGGTTTAAAACAATAATTATTCCCTTTTTTGAATTTTCCCATCTTTCAAAGCTGACATAGAATTTTACTAGGGGTACTCTGTCTGAAGTGAAATTCACTTGTGATGTGCTTTTTCCATTGCTCTATCAGCATCATGTCAAGTTAAGGTGTTATCGTGCAATAATTTATTATCATGATATGAATTAGCTAGTAACCCTCACTGCAAAATGTAGATGTATTGAAGGGGGTAATGACAGTTTTACTGCTACAGAGAAACAACACTACTAGATCAAATTACTTCTCATCTCTTTTGATAACCTTCTCTTAATTGGCTGTCAGCTGCTTAGTGATTTCATTTTGAATTGTAAAATTAAACACATGTTAAAAACATTTTTTTCTGAATAAATTGAGATTTTTTGGCTATTTTTTTTAAAACCGGGTACAATATACCCTGAATGTAAAAATTACATGTAATCCCTCAAATCCTCTTGGAAACATAAGAAATAACACTGTTAGTCAGTTAAATACATACTTTATTTCAATAAGCACTGTAAAAAGTCAGTATGAAGTTGACTTTCAACACAGCTTCATATCACAGTTGCATTCATCCAGTGTAGGGGGGTTACATTAAATAGATAGTCATAATTTACATGTCTTTACATGTAATTTCTTAATGTTACATATTTTACATGTACTATATACATGCTATCTAAAAATGTCAAATTGGCCACTTTTTCACTTTGTTATCCATTTGGTTATAGGAAAAACACCAGAATTGCCTAGGTACAGGAGGCCGCCATCTTGGACACCCAAAGTTGTGCGGAGAAGAAAAGCTGACAGGAGTCCTGATTGGTCATTAACAGAAAATCTTTGTGGTGGAATTTGACAGTGAAATATAAGTGATAAAAATTATATGTGACATAACAGAATGTGTAAAAAGATATAGGACTTATAAAGGAAGACTTGAGATGAGGGGTGATATTTTGCTGGAGACTTTCATTCAGTGCGGATCTATACCAGTTGTAAACAGGCCAAAATTCAAAGGAAAAGTGCCGCGGCACAGTATATTTTTCGTGGTGGAATTTTGAAGAAGAGGTGTTGAACTTTGCTGCACAGTGACTGATTTTTAGAAAATTGAATATATAAATAAGTGACAGTGATTGGAATTTGTATGGAAGTCTATGGGAAAACATTTGGTGGTGTTTGTCCTATTTTAGAACAATCTCTATCCAGAGTTATCGTTCCCGCTACGCTACACTTACACGAAGCGTTTACACGTGTTGTAGCGAAGCGTAATATGCCCTCTGGTGAGAGATTGCTTTTAGAATAGTAATTAACATTAGTGGCACTCATTTCATGCTTGTATGTTATTTTGTTGTATCACTTGCATTCATATACCCAGTTGGGGTCTTTGTCTTAAATAAAAACTTGAAACTTGAAACTTTAGAATGTGCTTTTTTAAAAGAGAACCAAAAAAATTTAACCTTGTCCCAAATATAATGGACAAAAAAGATTAGGGATCATGATTTTGAATTGTTTTCCCAAAACAATTATAATATATTTTTTACGTTATAGTTCAACCATACTTTCTGTTATTGATAAGAAAATGCTACCTGAAGGGTCGTGCAATTCATACCCAATTCATGCTTTACTGAATGCTGACACAGGGTGAAAAACAAAGTGATTCAGGGTATACACAAAGTTAACGAAATTGTTTATTTGAATACGTGTTTGAAGTTGTGGATATTTTTGACATTTCAAGCCATGTGACGTCACTTAAGGTGGTATGGGATACCAAACGAAACTTCTCCTACATATTTATGTACCCAAATTAGAAGGATTTGAAATACCCCAACCTTTCAGTATATTAAAGTGTAATTTTAATAATTTTTTTATTATTTTAATGAGAAATACAAAAACGATTTTTTTTTCTTGCATAATTCTTTTTTCATAAGCTTAATATTATAGGCAGGCGTTTGCTAATATAAAGTGTTTATAAAAACAAAAATGACAAGAAATATGTCTTAGTATTTTTTTAATTTTCAACAAAAAATAAGCGTAAAAAACTGGGAAAACTTTATTTCTTGAAAACAGACGGATAACATTTCATGAAAGTCTAAAATAAGAATGTATCTTAATATGTTAGCAAAGTGAAATAAACAAATTGAAAATATATATATAAATGGAAAATATAAAATGCATTTAAAATTTTTTGAATTAAAAGATCCGAGCGAAAGAGTTATCCTTCTTTATTTTCCAAGGGTTGAAAAAACCTGGGTGCTATTTTAGAAATGATGAGCATTTTTTCCCAACCATAAAAAAATCGCACTTTGTAGTTTTCAACTTTGAGCGGTTTTGAAAACAATGCATGGACAATCGCTTTCCAGGACGTGTCTTGTTCAGAGCAATTGCATTCATCTGAACGTTTTGGGACTATATACAACAGCTAGCTGATTTGTGACCAAACAGTTACTTCTTGAATTAAATAACAAAAAAGTCCAGCTCTGGTTAACGTGATAATTGATTGGTGATAATTCAGCACAATGTGAAGTAATCGCACTTATCCATGCCTCACCGCACACAAGGTGCTGTACAGTTACTCAAACAATTGAAATACAGCTTTTGCTTAAAAGTGTTCAAAAGCAGCAATGTTGAAACTACCTTTTACAGGGGTTTGCTTTTTTAAATGTCCGTTGTACAATCATAAGTAAATTTATATACTTGCGATTTTTTTGTCTGTTTTTACTTAAAATGCCGATGTGAGAACTTGCATTGAAATAGGCTTCAGAGTGTTCTTTTCAACGGTGTATCTACAAATTTTGACCCGATAATAAGCACTCATGCAAATCAAAACAATACTTCAAACGGATACGTCATAACGTAGAGGTATCCCATACTACCTTAACCGGCTTTAAGGCAGCCCAAGCTATAGTATTGTGATGGTTATTGGAAACTGAAAACGCAAAGAAGACCCAGATGTAAGGTTAGAATGGAATAACCTGTCCTCCCTTAAGCTTAAAGTAGACTAGTCCAAAGGGTATATATAAGACTGCATTGAGAGATTCAGGGTCTTTTGGGGAATGCAGAGCTGCAGTTAAGTGGAAGCAGGAGAAATTTGGATAAGAATAACGGATAAGAGAAAGGGTAAAATAAAAGAAATAGGTTTGCACCAGTGACAAGAATCTCGGGGAATTGAGGAGAGATACTGAGGGCTGTAGATCTGAATAAGAACGAAACTCCTAGTATCCGCTATCAATAGGAACCTGGGGCAAGGTACACGGTGCTGAGTCTAACAGTTACCAAGTCATCAGAATTCATCCCACATTATATATTCTTTGATTAAATATAATAGGTTTAAAGAAAAATTATTATACTGTACATAGTCAAATTATTAGATCATAAACTCACTGACAGGTAGAGTAAGAGAAAAATTCATCCCCTGAGAACCCTACGCAGGGGTACACGTTTCATTTTGGGGGCAGCCGGTCAGGGGATAGAAATTAATAAGACAAAATTACTAGGTACCAGGTCCAGTTTACCAAGTGCTATTTACGAGGTTCAGTGGTACCAGGTACGCAGAGCTTGGTACGGAGTTACCAAGGACATTTTACCAAGTACAGTTTACCAGGTCCAGTATAACCAGGTGCAGAGAGCCAAGTGCGCTGTTAACAAGTACTGCTTACCAGGTCCAGTGTTACTGGGGCAGAGCGCCAAGTAGTGTGACAAGGTTTTTATGTACTTTTCAGTAATAATAGAAGGAGGAATCCGTAGGTCCATTAGAGAAAAGTAAGATGTCTGATAAAGAAGCGAATCTTTTGGCCGACCTAAGTGCTATAGACGCCATGCGAGAGAAACTAAGGGAATCTCTAGACAGAATGAAGTCTACACCAAAGACATCTACAAATCCAGCAAGGATACCGGATTCGGGAGTAGATATTAGATACAGGCCATTTGAATCTAGTTTAGATGAATTAACATCTAAATACACGAACACTTTGGACAGGGAAAAAGGTGCAACAAGTGGCAAAGAGGACTATAGGTACTTGATGTCCCCTAAACCAAGTTATACATTGTATGAGGAAGAAGAAAATGAAGGTAGAGGAACATTAACTTCTGGGAAACCAAACAAGTATGATGTATCAGGACAAGTTAAGCAAACAACTCTTCCTAGATTGATTCCAACAACAGGATTGCCTTGGAATACTAGCGGATATGCTGCTCCGTCAACAACAACAAATGTGACTTGGTCAGACAGCCGAAATGCGGGTACTGGCTCATTTTCTGTTCAACAGCCAAAACCCAGTATAGAGAGTGCAACAAATAAAAGCACGGAATATACTATGGGTAAAACAGTGATGAAACCAGCGACATATGATGGAGTAGGATTTTGGATTGACTACAAGGCACACTTTGAGGCCTGTTGTGATATCAATATGTGGAGCGCTCGACAGAAAAGTTTGTACTTGGCAGCTTCGTTAAGAGGACAGGCTCAAACTGTGCTAGGAAATATGAGCCCAGGTACAGCCTGTACATATGAGGATTTATGCGATGCCTTACAGGCCAGGTTCGCACCGGCAAACAAAACTGAGTTGTATAGAGCAATGCTGAAGGAGAAAAGACAGAAACCCACAGAAACTTTGCCAGAGTTAGGTGAAAGTATTCGCCGATTAACCCACTTATCCTACCCAACTGCTCCCCGTGAAGTAACAGAAATGATTGCCAAAGACCAGTTTGTCGATGCACTAACAGACTTTGACATGAGACTCCGTATTCAACAATCTCGACCAAAGTCACTTAATGATGCGGTGCGACTGTAGTCGAAATTGAAGCATTTTGCAGAGCAGAAAGGCAACGAAGACATGATGTTGGGTTTGCCAGGAATGCCACAAGGGATCAAGAAAATAAAAATGTGAATCATGATGATGGCAGTGTAAGAGAAGAATTTAAGAAGCTTAGGGATGAGTTACACATATCTTTAAGAAAATTAGAAAACAAAATTGAAAAACTTTCGAAACAGGAAATCAATAAACAATCCGAAAATACTGAACCACAATCACCTGCTTTTCCGTGCAAATGCCATCATTGTGGGAAACGTGGACATAAAATCAAAGATTGCTTTTTGAGAAACAAGTCTACCCCAGTCCAGGTACCAGTGTCAGGAAGCAGACCCAGGGCGAAGAACAACTCAAATGTGGAAAGGTCACCACAGGGGAAAAGAGATACAATCAAGTCTAGTACAGCTACTGTTAAACATGCAAAAACCTGTCTAGAATCAGGTCTTTTCATAAAAGCTCATGTAAGCCTCGTGCCTTGTAATCTACTGGTTGATACTGGGGCAACACTTACTATTTTTGCTGAAAGAATGTATGATGAAAAGGTAAAGTCAGTTAATATTCCCTTGGAAACGGTATCACAGAACATAGTAGCGGCTGATGGAACTCCATTAAAAGTAAAGGGACGAGGTAACTTCTTAATTAAGTTAGGAGACCACGAGTTTGACTGCCAAGCTGTCATGGCAAACATTAAAACAGATGGAATTCTAGGTTTGGATTTCCTTCAATCAAGTCAATGTTTAGTGGATATAGCTCGTACTAAAATGTTTGCATCTGGCGTTGAACATGATCTGCATTTACAGGGGCAAATAGGTTGCTTTCGTGTTAGTCTGGAGGAAAATATAACAATTCCTTCTAGAAGTGAGATGATTTGTTCTGGACAGTTGTTATCATCTCCAGGAATAAAAGTACAAGGACCTCTACTTATAGAGCCTATCAAAAAGTTTGATACCGGCGGTAAAGCGCTAATAGCTAGAACCTTGGTTGATCCAGCTAAAAATGTCACAGTGCGTTTAATGAATATATCAGAACAGATTCAAACAATTTACAAAAATACAGTTGTCGGGGTGACTTCGCCAGTGGACGTAGTTAAATCTGAGGATGAAAATATGGTTAGCACAGTAACGCTAAATGAAAAGGTAGAAAACATCCCAGATCATTTAAATGAGTTGTACACAGAAACAACTAAGGGCCTCACAGCAGAAAAGGCATCCAAAATTAAAACATCTTTAATAAAGTTTCAACACCTATTCTCTAAGACCAAAGATGATTTTGGTAGAACCTCGTTAATAAAGCATAAGATCAATACAGAAGGTGCCAGACCAACCAAGCAGCCTCCTAGGAGATTGCCACATCATACGGCAGAATTTGTTGACAAGGAAGTAGAAAATATGATCAGAAAAGGCATTGTCGAACCTTCTTCCAGTCCTTGGGCTGCCGGGGTGGTTCTAGTGGAAAAGAAAGATGGTACCAAGAGATTCTGTGTAGACTATAGATCTCTCAATAGATGCCTATCCTTTGCCACGAATGGATGACTTGCTTGATCGTCTACAAGGAGCTATCTGGTTTTGCACCTTAGACCTTCATTCGGGGTATTGGCAAGTGGAGATGGATGAGGCTGATAAACCAAAGACAGCTTTTGTCACAAGAAATGGCCTATTTCAATTTTCAGTAATGCCCTTTGGACTTTGTAACAGTCCAGCAACTTTTGAGAGACTGATGAAGACGGTTCTTGCTGGTTAAATTTTAAGATATGTTTAGTGTATATAGACGATATTATTGTCTTTGGAAGCACTTTTGATGAGACACTTCAAAATCTGGAGCAAGTGTTCGAGAAATTACACCAGGCAGGGCTAAAGTTGAAACCTTCTAAATGTACCTTGTTCAAGAAAGAGGTTTTGTTTTTGGGATATCGTGTTTCAGGACATGGCGTTCATACCAAACCTCAGAAAATAGCAGTGGTAAAAGACTGGTCTGTTCCCATAGATGCAAGCGAAGTGCGTTCATTTGTGGGTCTTTGCAGTTATAACAGGAGATTTATTGTAGGTTTCTCCTCACTAGCTAAACCATTATTTAGGTTGACTGAGAAAGGCCGAGTTTTCAATTGGACATTGGAGTGTCAGGAGGCTTTCGAAAAGCTTAAGCACCATTTAGTCACTGCTCCCATTCTTGCACATCCTAACTTCTCATTGCCTTTTATTTTAGACACAGACGCAAGTCAAGTGGGTCTCGGTGCAGTCCTTTCTCAAGAAATAGATAGTGAAGTTAGAGTAATATCTTATGCTAGTAGGACTCTATCAAAAAGTGAGCGGAAATACTGTATAACTAGAAAGGAGCTGTCTTGGCGGTAGTATTTGCCTGTGAACACTTTCGACATTACTTGTATGGCCATAAGACAATTGTGTACACTGACCACAGTGCATTGAAATGGCTTATGAATTTTAAAGACCCCCAAGGACAGGTGGCCAGATGGATTGAATTTCTAGGTACTTATGATCTAGAAATACGACACAGACCGGGTCCAAAGCATGGGAATGCAGACAGTCTCAGTTGATACCCCTGTCGTCAATGTGGATATAAGGGAAATGATCAGGATGATGATCCTAAAACAGAAACTGTACAGGCAGTTGAGAAAACATTGGCTGGAAATGGACTTACGATTGAAGAACTCCAAGAGCAAGATTCAGACATAGCAAAAATAAATAGCTGGGTGTCATCTCAGAAGCGGCCAGAGTTTGCAGAAATAAAGGCTGAAAGTAATGTTGTGAAGTCGCTATGGTCACAATGGAATACATTAGAGATCAATAATGATGTACTGTGTAGAAAATGGATAGGTGATAGAAAAGAGTTTCACCAAATTTTGGTCCCTATGTCTGATTTTAAGACAGTGTCATGATGCTCGAACTGCGGGTCATCTTGAGGTAACAAAGACCTTGGCCAGAATACGAGAAAAATTCTATTGGGTTGGATTGCAGAATGATGTCCGTAGCTATGTGACTGGATGTCCACAATGCAGAAAACGAAAATCTCGTTCTGCTGGAAAATCATACATGCAGTTAGATCAAACTGAGTTTCCCTTAGAACGGGTAGCCACAAATATTATGGGGCCACTACCTGAAACCGAGAAAGGTCATAAGTATATTCAAGTCATATCTGACTACTTTACTAAGTGGACAGAGGCCTTTCCTCTGAAAAACATAGAAGCACAGACAGTTGCTGAAGTCATAGTAGAACAGTTTGTTAGTAAGCTTGGTATCCCAGAAATAATACAGTGACCAGGGCAGACAGTACGAAAGCAAGCTGTTCAAAGACATGTGTGAAATGTTGGGTACAAGAAAAACTCGAACTACTGCTTTCCATCCAAAGTCAGATGGAATGGTGGAAAGATTTAATAAAACTTTAGCAACAATGCTGAGTGCCTATGTGTCTGAATACCAACAAGATTGGGATAGAAACCTTCCGTATTCGCTTAGGGGCTACCGTTCCTCTGTGCATGAAAACACAGGCTATACTCCGAATATGCTTATGTTTGGACGCGAGGTATCTACCCCGCTAGATATCATGTATGAATTACCGAATAGTATGAAGCCAAGCAAAGTACATGATTATGTATGGAAACTTCGGGAAACACTTGAAGAGGCATATAAGTATACCCGTCAGATTAGCAAGCAGTCTATGCTAAGACAGAAGAAGTATCACGATCAAAATATTATCAGTAAGAGTTTTGAGGTTGATGATAAAGTGCTAGTGTTTTTCCCACAAAGAAATGTAGGGAAGTCTCCCAAATTGATGAGTTTTTGGTATGGCCCTTACATTATCGTTGAAAAGCATACTGATGTTACATTCAAAATTAGAAAAGAAAACGATACCAAGACTCTCATTGTACATATTGACAGGTTAAGACATTATGGGACTCAGGTCCTGGGTAATGAAATACCCCAGTCTGAGGATGATCACCAAGTAGTGCAAGATGAAAGTCAGACTGATGAACTTCAGAATGATGAACCTGAACTAGATGCGTTTGGTAATTCAGAACTGAATGAATTAGAATTGTCATACGCAAATCGTAGACAACGCACAAGGCCTAAATGGCACACTGATTATGAGTTTGATTATACAATTTAACTTTTAGTACAGTGTTTTAAGAATTATCATTTATTTTCAGATTAAAAAAAAAAGGAAGAAAGAAAAGAGATGCCATTGGCCAAAGTGACTCACAGGAAGCCTGGGTTTTTATGCTCTATTTGTTTGCTTCGCCTTCCTTCTGAAGAGGAATGGAGAGATCACTTGCTAGCATGTGGAATGGCTGATAATAATCGAAGAAAATATGAATGCGGATTATGTGATCAAGCTTTTAGTAAGAAAATTATCTTAACCAGGCATGTAAAACGCGTGCATAAGGAACAAGAGATCTCAGAATTACAATAAAAGAGGCAGATTCAAGATTCGGCAGTGGAATCACTTATAGAAGAGGATTGGCTAGAAGATCCAGGAGAACTAATTTTTGAAGAAACCAACATTGAGTTAGGTAGAACTCAGAGAAAAAGAACTGCCCCGCGTTTGCCAGGTATAAAAAGAAAAACAACAGACAGAGTAAACCAAGTAGTTGATGAAGAAATAATAAAAGACAAGGGTGCGAAGAATGAAGACGAAGCAACTAGTAGTAGACCAGACCAGGAGGCACCTGTGGAGAATCTGCATTGCTCCTGTTGCAAGAAACAAGTTGAGACAGTGGAAGTATAGCTACACAGGCCAACATTCATGTTGAAGAAGTAAACCAGAGAAGACATAAGAAAATCATACGAGTGATCAGAAAATATCAAGAAAATGGAGAAACCATTGAAAAATTTAAAGAGGACATTTGGTCTGATTAGACTTCCTCATGTACATGAAATCAAACTGACTATGTGTTTGTATTTCTTTCATTTTTGTAACCAGGTGTTATTTTTACCTTTGATAAATAAGTAAATTAAAAACAAAATTATAAAACATATAAATATCTAAAAGAAAACATGTGGGACGCATGAAATCAGAGGCGTGGGTGATGTAATAGTTATTGGAAACTGAAAACGCAAAGAAGACCCAGATGTAAGGTTAGAATGGAATAACCTGTCCTCCCTTAAGCTTAAAGTAGACTAGTCCAAATGGTATATATAAGACTGCATTGAGAGATTCAGGGTCTTTTGGGGAATGCAGAGCTGCAGTTAAGTGGAAGCAGGAGAAATTTGGGTAAGAATAACGGATAAGAGAAAGGGTAAAATAAAAGAAATAGGTTTGCACCAGTGACAAGAATCTCGGGGAATTGAGGAGAGATACTGAGGGCTGTAGATCTGAATAAGAACGAAACTCCTAGTATCCGCTATCAATAGGAACCTGGGGCAAGGTACACGGTGCTAAGTCTAACAGTTACCAAGTCATCAGAATTCATCCCACATTATATATTCTTTGATTAAATATAATAGAAAAACCCAGATAGGTTTAAAGAAAAATTATTATACTGTACATAGTCAAATTATCATCTTCGCTAGCCAAAGGTTTCTGATACGCTACTCTCCTCATAAACCCTTGGCATACGGTGCTGACAAAAGACGGGATTGTTTTGGTCACGTGATCACGATTCTTACCAGGTACGCACAGATTGCGTCATCGACAGAAATAAAAAGCGTGTTTAAAAACATAATGTTTTTAAAGAATAATTAACAAGAAGGTATTGAGTTATGTTAATTTGTTATTTAAACATGTCAAAATGCAAACCTACATCTTCAGTATAGATTCTTAATCACATATTTTGCACGTAGCTTAACATATTGGATGACACTATATAGCTATTCATAGAATGGCATGTTATCTTACGGATCGTTGTTTATTTGCGTTTTTCATTCCTGATATTAAAGAGTCAAGATATATCCCGAACACAAATATCGACATTTACAAAAAACAATTTCTGATTGGTCGAACGATGTCGATCAACTCCAATCACAACTTGAGAAAAAAATCCCAACTTTTTTTTAACTCCGTATGCCAAGGGCTAATGAGGAGAGTAGCGTATCAGAAACCCTTGGCTAGCGAAGATGTCAAATTATTAGATCATAAACTCAGGTAGAGTAAGAGAAAAATTCATCCCCTGAGAACCCTACACAGGGGTACACGTTACAGTATGCTTTAATCTGGCAATATTCAAAGAAATATTGCTGCACACTTTAATGTGTCCCAAAGTGTCATTTCACGATTATGGAATCGATTCCAACATACTGATACCGTTGCTGAGAGACCACGTTCTGGTCGTCCGAGGTCAACCACGGCTCGTCAGGACCGTTATCTGGTCAATATGACAAAACGGCAGAGGTTCCAGAGTGCTGTTAGGCTAAATACAGACTTTCAAACAGCAACAAGAGTGCGAGTAACACCACAGACAGTTCGAAACAGACTCCATGCGGCTAATATCCGAGCATTCTGACCAGCAGTTCAGCCCAAACTGACCCCAAGACACAGAACAGCCAGACTCCAATGGGCATGAAACCATGTCAATTGGCAACTGCGTCACTGGACCCCTGTTCTTTTTACATATGAGTAGCGCTTTTGTGTAGACTTTCATGACGGACGTAGACGAGTTTGGCATACGACCAGTGAACGTTATGCAGATTGCTGTGTTAATTGCTGAACATGATCGTTTCGGGGGTGGTTCTGTGATGGTTTTGGGTGGTATCAGTATAACTGGAAAGACTGACTTGCATGTTATCGCAGGAAATCTTACAGGGATAAGATACCGAGATGAGATACTGCACCCTATTGTCAGGCTGTATGCAGGTGCTATCGGTAAATGAAACCATTGAGCGAATGGACTGGCCGAGTCTTTCGCCTGATTTGAATCCCATATGCCCGTATTCACACCTGTGTTTAAGGTAGTATGGGATACCTCTACGTTATGACGTATTTCCGTTTGAAGTATTGTTTTGATTTGCATGAGTGCTTATTATCGGGTCAAAATTTGTAGATACACCGTTGAAAAGAACACTCTGAAGCCTATTTCAATGCAAGTTCTCACATCGGCATTTTAAGTAAAAACAGACAAAAAAATCGCAAGTATATAAATTTACTTATAATTGTACAACGGACATTTAAAAAAGCAAACCCCTGTAAAAGGTAGTTTCAACATTGCTGCTTTTGAACACTTTTAAGCAAAAGCTGTATTTCAATTGTTTGAGTAACTGTACAGCACCTTGTGTGCGGTGAGGCATGGATAAGTGCGATTACTTCACATTGTGCTGAATTATCACCAATCAATTATCACGTTAACCAGAGCTGGACTTTTTTGTTATTTAATTCAAGAAGTAACTGTTTGGTCACAAATCAGCTAGCTGTTGTATATAGTCCCAAAACGTTCAGATGAATGCAATTGCTCTGAACAAGACACGTCCTGGAAAGCGATTGTCCATGCATTGTTTTCAAAACCGCTCAAAGTTGAAAACTACAAAGTGCGATTTTTTTATGGTTGGGAAAAAATGCTCATCATTTCTAAAATAGCACCCAGGTTTTTTCAACCCTTGGAAAATAAAGAAGGATAACTCTTTCGCTCGGATCTTTTAATTCAAAAAATTTTAAATGCATTTTATATTTTCCATTTATATATATATTTTCAATTTGTTTATTTCACTTTGCTAACATATTAAGATACATTCTTATTTTAGACTTTCATGAAATGTTATCCGTCTGTTTTCAAGAAATAAAGTTTTCCCAGTTTTTTACGCTTATTTTTTGTTGAAAATTAAAAAAATACTAAGACATATTTCTTGTCATTTTTGTTTTTATAAACACTTTATATTAGCAAACGCCTGCCTATAATATTAAGCTTATGAAAAAAGAATTATGCAAGAAAAAAAAATCGTTTTTGTATTTCTCATTAAAATAATAAAAAAATTATTAAAATTACACTTTAATATACTGAAAGGTGGGGGTATTTCAAATCCTTCTAATTTGGGTACATAAATATGTAGGAGAAGTTTCGTTTGGTATCCCATACCACCTTAAACCAGGTTTACCACTAAGAACAGCTTACATTTTTTAAATCCGTTTCATACCTGTTTCTCAGAAGTGAGCTAAGCTCACAAATTAAGCTGAGCCTAAACCTGGTCTAGGGTAGGTTTAAATGTTGATTTATTGTTCTTCTAACACTGGAGGACTGCAAAGATTAGATAAAGAGTCTGGATCTCATTGGAAAAAGATAGAAGACAACCGAAAATTATCTGTGACAGATTAAATCTTTTTATATGATGAT